AATCACGAGCTAGCCCAGTGGTTCTCAAACTTTTTCTGTCGCGCCCCACTTTGGAGGAAGAAAAATGTTCATGCCCCAACAAAATTGTAACAAAATGTTCCATGTTGAATTTTTATTGAAATAACATATTGTGACTCCTCCGTCTGTGCTTTTTCAAATAATAGAATAAAGAAAATTGCAATCACTTTTAAGTAAACCAGATTGCTCCATCAGACAAAAACAAATAAAATGTGCAATCACTTTGTTAGAACAATGCAAATTAAGCAAAATATAGCTTATTGCAATTGGCTGCAATTAACCTGTTTTGCACTAAACATCTTTTCAAGATAACAATAAAGTGCAACCTGTGAAAAACTAAACAAAACAAGTTCAAATATTTGGCTATAAAGAGTTTTATACTGCATATGTTTTCAACAATAACGTCCAACCTGTGCATATCTCATAAAAATGAGATAGCATCTCATAAAAATGAGATAGCATCTCATAAAAATGAGATAGCATCTCATAATTATGAGATGCTAAGTCATGCTATGTCATTATTTTGAGATAGTATCTCATTATAATGACTTACAGGATCTGTAATTTTTCCTCAGTGGCGGAAACGGGCTTCCATACATTTCGCCATGTATTTATTCATTACTTTAAAAAAAGAAAAAGAAAAAAAAAAAAAAGATTTTCTGCATTTCCCCCTGTGCCCCACCTGTAATACCACCACGCCCCACTAGAGGGGTGCGCCCCACAGTTTGAGAACCACTGAGCTAGCCGATGATGTGAAATAACTTTCAGTGCTGGATCCAGAATATTGTCACCAAAGCCAAGACACCGCCCTACGGCTCGGGTCGTGATGCTGCAAGTCAGGGCTACGTCTAACGTCTCATGACCTCGGGTTTTTATGATGGAGTAAGTAAGGGGGAAACTGCCAGGACCTTCTCCTCACGAAGACCCAGAGCAAGGGCACTGTCTCCCCAGCCCCATAGATCAGCCAGCCCTGAATGTCAAATCGCACAGCAGCCGCCACGGTGCCAGGAGTCCCCCTCTTGCTCCCTCTCTGGCCCGTGATGCGCTGTCTGGTGACACCACTGCGCTAATGACCCGGTTTGGGAGTTGCTCCACGGGGCTCCTTGGCTTGGGAAGACGGAAGTTGTGGATATATCCAGCTGGAAGGTCACTGCCGAAACGACGACCACTCACTCAACATTCCCTCTATACTTTGTAGACATCCTTCAGTTTGTTTAAAGGATGTTGCGACATGGGGCCCTGCCGCTGACCTTTTATCGAAACAAGGCGTGGCTTAGCGGCGAATCAGGAGTAAGCTGATGTGGTTTCCATGCTGTTTTTGGTCATTATATGGACTAGTTCTTGTTGGAGACAGGCCCAATGTTTATGTGAACTGCATACATATGATACCGTAAGTGTTTAATTGCCCAGCAATTTGGATAAAAGTGAAGTTGGAAAGCAAGCGCTGACCCTTTCTTGCCAACTCTGAAGCCATCTGATTGTTAGCTGTTGTTTTTGTTCGTTCTTTTTTTTTTTTTTTTTAAATCAGTTTACCGTGGAAGTATGTCTCCGTGCTCGGAGAGCGCAATGTTTTTAGTCACTCGCTATCTAGACTTATTTTTTTCCTTTTTCTCAGCCTCAGGAGTTTGGCTTGTTGGAGCAGAGTTAAAGTCCCAGGGGTGCACTCCTCTGGTGATGGGGGCGCTGCCTCGACCTCACTCATGCCTGGTGTGGGTGGCATCCAACCAGGGAGACGCACAATGGAGAGCAAGACTGAAGATGGTGATGCTTCTGGTGGACTCTCCCAGGACTCAGCCTTATTCTCAGGGTCATGCATTTCAGCAATCTCTGTAATTATAAGCAAGTAAGAAAAAAGTTGAATCTTCTGCCTTTCTCGAAAATGAATGTGCCCTGCTCCTCAAGGGAAACATTCACATCTCTGAGTTCTAGTAGCTGGATGGGTTTTAATGAGGCAAGTCAAGTGTGTGTGCGCGGTTTGGTGCACATGCATGTCTGTGTATCGGCCCCGTTCTAACGAGCGTAATTGACCGACTGCTTTTAAGCCGTCACTTTTTTTTTTTTTCACCATTTGCGAGAGAATTCTACTAAAATAGCCTTCAGTGATTATTATTTCTACAGGAGACACTTCATTTGGATTAAAACTTTCTCTGGGTTTTAAAGTTCAGTTAATACTTTTTTTTTTTTTTTTTTTTGGACAATGTGCAGTCGGAGCCAAAATGGTCAGAGGGCGAGCGGGCCACAGGGTCAGGAAGAACTGCTGGAGGGTCTCGCCACCCGAGGGCCACTGATTCCTCGGGGGAACGTTTCACCCCCGCAGAGAGGCAGAGTGAAATCTCCAATGCTGCGGCACGCACACTTGCTGCGGCGTCTCGATGTCTAACTAAAAGCTATGGGTGGTGGAAAAAGGAACAAATCTCCACATAACTGCTCAGTTTTACTACAGATGTAAGAAGCTTAGGTGATCTGAAAACAGACTGTGCGTTTGATAGCATTTCAAAGGCATTTCATGGCAGCGTAGAATTTTTTGAAGGACAGAACAATTAGAGAGTCGATTAAGTCGTTTATGTGAATGAGTAAATGCGAAGATGCACCGTGTAGGCCTACACGAATGAATCGCTTGCTTAATTTTCATAAAGGCACATGCCAAATAGAACATTTCCTGGCTGGCATCGTTTTTTTATGACAAACATGTCACGTTTTTTTATTTTTATTTTATTTTTCTCATTCATCTTTGTTTGATTCCCTTTTCCCTCGTGCTGAGAGGTGAGACTTGAAACAAAAGCATTTTTTTGTTGATTTTCATTGTGCCTATTTGCTCCCAAAAATGTATATTTGATTCTCCTTTCCATATTTATAAAGTCATCCCCGAGGGACCAGCCATGTCAGGCAGTTTGTGGAGCATCATGAGCAACATTCCTCACATGAGGTTTCTTCACTTGAAGAGGGGGACAAAAAAAAAAAAACAACTTCTGAGCAAGTATGTACTGTAACTTAGAGACTGAACTGTGCGAGCACTGAGTCAAGTCGAGCCTTTTCCCAGTTACTTTGTCACTAATGAAAGTAGCAAAGAGCCCTGGAGGACTGAAGAGCACTGTTTGTTTGTTTTTGGGAGAGCATTCGAGAGGTATGGGGGGGAGGCAAGGTGGTAAAACTTTGGGAGAGCCGCCTGACAGAGCGCTGAGACAGAGGGGAGAACTTCGGAGCATTGTTAAGATTGAAGTTTTAAGGCACGCTGGGATCTCCTGACAGATTCCAAGCACCTACAAATAGATGTTTCATATGTGTGTGTTTACCAACTTTACTGTAGCTTGTGAGGGCTTTGAATTTACCAAAGCGCATCACGTCAATCTGTGTCATACTTTGTTTCATTGATCTTCGGCACGCATTCGTGGCAGCGTGTGGGTGGGGAAATGATTTGAAAAAAACAAAAGCGAAAAGGGGTGCGGATGAAATTGCACGATTTCAAATTGAGCAAACCGAATGGAAGCATTGACATCATATGTAGGTCATAAGTCCCCATTTATTATGTTTAAGTCTCACATCTGCTGCCCATTAGGGATATAAGAGGGGAAATAACAAGGCCTCTTCTAAAGGAGGCTAATAATGACTGTCAGCTACCAGACAGAATTTTCTATTACATTTATTATGTTGTGCTGCTGTAGGTGATTACCTTAGATGTCAATAACAGTATAAGGCCTCATTATGAACTCCACATTAAAAGGTGGGAACACCCTATAGAATAAGAGCAGCCTTATTATGTACTCACATCATTAACTTTTATAGTTTTTGGTTAACTTTAGTGGATAATTTCCTTTTAGCGAAGTTAAATTCAGCCACGGTAGAGGCTATCAAAGGTTGTTGTTAATTTTCTTCCTCTACTCCAGCCCGTGTTTGGGAGTTGCCCTATCGACTGTTTCCCTCCTTCCCCCGTAGGTGTGCAGGGAAAAGCTCGCTCTCCTCTTACGACTTGTCTCTGTGAATCAGTCGGAGAAGAAAATGCCAATTGAAAGTGGGGAAAAAGGCGAGTCGCGTGACTGTGATTTTTAGATGGGGCCCCTGGCGGAGGCCGCCTACAGGCTGCAGAGGGGCAGGGTGAGAAGCTCTCTGCAGGACTCCTCTCTGGATCTCATTTTCACATAGCAGGGGTAGCATGGGGGCTTGCATGTTATCATGCAGGTGAGGGTGGATTCCAATGCACCGTTGTGTTTGAGATAGAAAGAGAAAGAAAGAGGTTGTGTGAAATTTTACATCTTCTAAAAAACAAAACAATAATAGGCCTAATTAAATCACTTCAAAATTTGAATACTAAGATTAGAGTTCATTTTACCGGAACTTATCCTGGAATGATAATTATCGAAATGATAAAATAAAAAAATAAAGACAAAAGAAAAACTTATAATAATACTAATGTCTTAGCATCTTTTGACTCAACCTCAAAATAATCAATATATTATTTTTAAAAACCAAGAGTTATTTCTTTATAAATAGAATCCAAATTAAAGGGATACAAGAGGCTATCATTTAATTCATAGTGAATGATAATGGTGAAGAAGAAAAAAAACCAACTCTGCAGTAAATAAAGCCATCATCCCAAAATTCTATGCGTGCCATCGCATGTCATATATGTCAACAGCCTCACAGAAAATGTATTTCTGCTGAACCATTTCTACCAGAAGGGGGACCAGTCCGTCTGCCGTAGACGGAGAGTGGCCGACGGCGAGCTGAGGCGGAGGAGACGCCAGGGTGAGCAAGCCGACTTTGGGTTTAGAGTTCGACTCCGGATCCGGGGACCAGCAGATCCAGCAATCCGCATCTTGCCGTGATCCCTAGGATTTTAATCATGCCTCTCTGTCTGTGTGTGAGTGCAGGCAGGCTGACAATGATTTCCTCAGTGATTACGTACAGAGCGAGTCCCTGCGGGGTAGGGGCCCCCTCTGGAGCCATCCTGATGGCTTTGGGGGCCTTGCTTCCATTTTCCATTATTATGTGGACTACCGGAGCGACAGCGCAGTCCAAGACCTTGCAGGTTTGTGATGAGGAGGGAGCTTCCATCTTCTCTCTGCTTCTTCATCCTCTTTTAAGAGCAATTTAGACGTAGACTTAGATCAGATTCCGAACCTAATTCATGATTAGCTGACTGGAGTAAAGAGAAGGAAGAGTCTATAATAGTTTTGATGCTGTTAGGTGGATATGAAGTGAAAAGTGTTATTATCATTTTTCCTTCTTTTTTTTGTGGTTTTGTTGCATTTTTTTTGTACTCTCACAGGAGGCGTTTGGCTGATGTCTTTCTCGCGCGGATGCATTTGAGATGAGATGCGAAAAGCAAATATTCCGCTTTTATTTCTAAACGAACATCATGCCTGCACGCGTGTGTGTTTTCCCGGAGAATGGAAGCGCATGACGGGGGATTACTATATTCTCACACTTTTCCAGATACCCAGCTCAACTAAATAGAGTCGCCTGTACCGATCGGGGTAATTGGATTTTATAACATCCACCTACTCATCATCACACAAAAAAAAAAAATAACAACGGCAAACTCGTGTTTAGACCGCACGGCAAAGGGCTAAGTTGCATCGTTCTGTAATGGTAAAAAGGCTGCCGCGATTGTGGCCAGTGGAATTTAGAGAGAGACTGCCTTTAGACAATCCCGTTTTACGCAAATTGTCAGACTGAAACTGAGCAACTTCAGCGTTTTCTATAGGATGTCGCGCCGCAAGCAAGCTAAGCCAAGATCACTGAAAGGTAAGTGATAAGCCTATGGTGGCTCTCCGCACATTTTATTTGAGGCTGATGACCAGTCTAAACGAGCATGAACTGAACTTATCGCTCACTGAAATGTAACTGTCTGCCCCTATTTTGTTTTTTTTTGTTTTTTTACGCATTACCAAGTGTTCTTCCTGTTTGTGTTGCGCATGGGATCGACTGCATGTAGCTACGTAACGTTACTTGGCATCGGGTATAAAAAAACAACGCTGGCCGTTTACAGTTCAGGCTTGTATCGTGATGATATAGTTAAAAGTGCAAGGGGCCGGGGCAATGGATAATCTCGAGATGCAACAGTGCAGGGCGACGCTGGCAAACATCTGGATGTGTTAAAGACGCTCCTGGTCGGAACTTAAGCCGTCTGATGGAATGGGGCGCAGAGTCACGTGACCTCCCCCCCCCCCTTCCCTCTGTCTGAGAAACTAAGGAGGAAACATTTTATATGTTGAAGAAAGGGAGGGCTATGATGTGTGTGTGTGTGTGCAATAGTTAAGAGATAAATTAGTGGTAGTGTTTTAGTGCTAATTGGACGTAAAAACATCTGGATTTATCAGGCAAGGCAGGAAAAACAAATGAACTTTATGATGTTTTTATTTCATATCAAATCTCAGCACGTCAGGATATGCACAGTAGACATCCTGTGTGATTTTTATTTTTTGTTACTTTTTTTCACACAGAGTTGGACTGGTGGTAATTCGACCATGCATTTGTGTCTGATTGTACATGTGAGTGAGAGGGGGGGTGGGGGAGATAGAGACAGAGCAACATGCATGAGCGCACACACACACATATTCACACACTACTTTTCTCTCTGTAGCATTTTGGTAGTGTTTATGTGTGTGTGGGGGGGCTGCTGGGCTCTTTTGGAGGTTGAGCTCCAGTTCATCTGGCAGGCATTGTATTTTGCTCAGCAAATAATTGTCCACAATTTCACATTCCCAGCTTGTGGTCTGTGGACCCCTTTTCTCTCTCCCCTTTCGTTCTCGGAAGTCTTCATCTCAAAGGAAGATTACATGGTCTGCGGTAGTACATTCATGCAGCCACCATTTTAAATCAATACCCAGGAGAGGGTGGAAATGTGAGTGCATGCATGTCTTGAAATTGTCACATTCTGTTTCCAGACATGCACTGCTCTTTTCACAGTAAACAGCTCCATACATAGATTCCATATTTTCCCAGACCAGATTGGCATTGACTGATTTTTCTTCTTTTTGTTTTTTTTGTTAGTTGGCGTTGACAATTGCTATTCTCAAAAGACACGTCACTTAGATATAATAGTCCCCTGCAAGCGTGCCTACATGCTACAAGTGTGTGCGTGTGTGTGTGTGTGTGTGTGTGTGTGTGTGTGTGTGAGAATTCTGAAGAACATCTGTCAACATTCGTGGACATCTATGTGTGCGAGAGAGAGAGAGAGAGAGAGCGAGGGATAGACGGAGAGTGAGCAAATCAGTATGCAAATGAAGTCAGAGTGATGACATTGTTTGTTTTGTTATTGTCAGTAAAATTTAAATTGGAAAAATGTGGTGCACAAAACATCTCGACTTTTATGTCCTCATAGCGGCTGCTGAAGCGGAGCAGAAATGCAGATACGTCATAGATATTTCCCTGCTTTGGATCGGACCCAGAGAAGGCCAGGCAGATGTTATTTATTGTTCTTTGTCTGTCTCTTTCCTCGGGGACAGAGATGCACTTATACAGATGTCCACAATAACTTTCCTTGTACTTGTCTGACACTGTATTATCCTCTATTGTTTAGCAGAAGACAGGAATTGTCATTTTATTTCCAGGGTTTTGTAAAAATATTTAGTTGTCACAAAAGCAGCATCTCTAAATTTGCGGCACCACGTTTTCACGCGTGTCCTCGTGCGCAAGCACGTACCGCGTGTTTGCGCTGAAAAGAACGCAGTTGCAGAGTTCAGGTTTCACTTTTATAGGTTGTCTTCTGCTAACTTGAGGCAGTGGTCAATGTGGACGCTGCCCTTTTTTTTTCTTTCTTTTTTTTTTTTGCGCAGAAAGAACACTTTGTTCTGCGGAAGGTAAAATAAACAGAGGTGCTGGTGGAACACGGAGGGTAAGGTGGAGAATGGGCACCGTGTGCGGCGTTTTTAGGGACTGGCGTGGATAGTACGGACATGGAAGTGTGTGCGCAGGAGATGAGAAAATAATGCCGTGACAGTTGGCACTCTTTTCTTCCCCTGTGTAGCCCAGCACACCCACTTCCTCGGTATTGGCTGCTTGTGGGAGTCAGAGGTTATGTTTTTGGTCCCATTGAGGAAAAGGGCAACATTACAAGTCCCGTTTCAATTAAGTCTGAGAGACAGATCCGGCTACGTTATTGCTTGGGGGAATAAATGGCACAGGACACGACCATACATCATTCGCTTATATGCAAACACTTCACCCTCGCCACTGACATTTACTCAATCCTGAGCCGTCTACATTTCTCAACTGTAGGCACATTGTAATTTTGTTTTGATGTGCAGAGGCTTTGGGTCAGCACATTGCCTCAGTCGGTGGTGAGCAGAGAGAGAGCGAGCGAGAGAGAGAGAGAGAGGGGAGGATCTCGCTCAAAACTCCTGCATGTAGCGCATGATGACTGCCACGTTGCCCCGTCCTACAGCACTTCCTGAATAATGCGAGGCTGGGTTGATATTTTCATCTGGCGCACGAATGACAGTCTCAAGCCCGACGTGTTTATTGGCTGAGGAGGAAGTCTCCAGGCCTGTCATCCGCATATATAAATATATTTTCTGCGCCATTTACTTTAAGTACAGAGGTTTTCATGAAATCAGCACTGTGTCATGTACACCTTAAATATTTGATGTTTTCGAGGAGCTGAAATTTGTCGCCACATGAGCGAATTGTGCTCGTCATGAAAGTGCATATTACTTTACTCTTTAAATATAAAGGTTGATTTTGCAAAATCTGTGATTGGCCTTTTGAACATAAAGTTAATGCAATTTTACGTTAAAATTCCTCTGCTCAGAGATGAGGAGATTAGACTTGAAGCACATTTTTATTTCCCTTCGTGTCAGGTGAAATAAAACTGCTATTCAAATTAATTAATTTTTGGAGAAAAGAAACAGTGTCCGTCATGACATGCGTAACCACTCCCCTTTCACTCCCTGTGAGCATAGGTCTGTGTAACAAAAAAAAAAAGTGTGGTGGCACCTTTAAGCCCGAGTATTTTTGTCAGCAGAACTCCTCAAAACTCATTTGACTCTATTATTTTGAAAGTCCACTATATTCAGTGCGTTTAATGATAAATGTCACAAAGGCCTCTTCTCAATTTGAACGATTCAAAACACAGAAACGTACTTCCTCCGGCTCCATTTCTCCTCCCCTGTTATAACAGTTGCGTCAGTCTTAGTTTAGAGGAAGCTGCAGTATTCCAGACTGTTCACAATTAATGATCTGTGGCATAACAGCCATTAACACTTTTCTAATGTGACACAAAAATATGGTTAGTATTATCATTAAGGAAATTATGATGGAGCCGTGGAAAAATCCCATTAGCACGGCTGTCAGTGCTCTTGACATGCGGCTCAGTGTGTTGGACTGGGTGTCGCGGGAGCTGGCCGATATCTCTCCCTACTCCGTGGCATGTGTCTCGCTTGTTGTCATGGATTGTCTGCCACATGGAGAAAGAGTCCTGATTCAGAGACGGTGATTGATTTGCATCGCTGCCGCAAACCCAAAAAATGTTTGCAAGGCTTATTTGCATCCGTCTCGTTCCCCCCTGTATGAACAGCATTAATCATTTATTTTTTTTGGAAGCTAAATTTGCAGTAATTGCATAACGGGATCATTGATTCGTGACATTTTTTTTGTCTCGCTACTAGTGGAGTTTTTTTTTTTTTTTAATCTTCTTTTTTTTGTTCTTATGATTTGCTTACAGTACGTGTTAATATATGAAGGATTACAAATATTACGCAACGTGATTAACATGCTCCTCTATTGCAAATATTTTATGACACTAATCACCAGTTCAAATAATGCTCATTAAGAAAGTTATTCATGTGCAGTGTGTGTCCTCCCTCCCTCCCTTCCCGGCCCTAATTGAGGAGGGTTGACCTCTTGACCTGAGCTAAATTGAGTTGTAGTCCCTGTGGCGAGCGTCTCCTTGCTGGTCAGTCAGGGCGGATTACACAGCCATTGTGTTTGCCACTGTATCGTCCAAGCTGGCTGTAACCAAGCAGATGAGTCACGCATATCCAGGAACACACTCTGGGCTGCTTTCTTTTTCTTTTCTTCTGATGTGTGCGAGATGCATACGCGCACAAATACGTGGCAATGCACAAACAAAAGCACAAAAATATGTACAGTAATTAGACACACGTGTTTGCGTGCGTGTACGTGCTCGTCACTCTTCTCCTCCACAGCAGGAATTCATTTGATAGATTAGGAAAGGTCCACGCCGCTGAGAGTTTGTCATGTTTTTGCTTATTCACGTCTATTAAATCATCCGTTTTATGCAGGCTGTGTGCATGTGGTGATCAATCTGTTTTGTTGTTTTTTTCTCTTTTTTTTTTACTTTGCGTTTTGTTGTTTGCGTCTCGTTCTGCTCCCCTATCTGTAGAAAATGAATTCATGGCTAAAAAGGAAACGTCCTGCCTTGGGGATTGTCGCTCTCAATATGACGACGGTTACTCAGCATTCATTTTCGTGTGTGGCCAGTGTGTTAATTAGTGGCCTTTAATGCTGTGCCACTTGTTGGGGGATTGTCTTTCCTGCTCCGCGTTTTGAAAATCAAAAGGAGCAGTGCTGAAACGGTCCCGTGTGTGTGTGGTATTGTATCAACAAAACCTAGCAGCATGATTACAGGTTGTCACCAACTGAGTGATACACTGTACCTTGTCAAACATTAATTAACTGATAGCGGTGAGACGCGTAGAACAATGTGGACTGAGTTTTATTCCGCTGAAGTCGTTGTCATTATGAAGTGGTCGTGAGCGTTGAGAGCGTTTTTTAATTAAACCGGTCCAGCTATTTGTTTCAGTACTGTGTCACGATTGTTGATCAAATGTCCAGCCAGTATGAAACATCACGGGGGTCTGGCCTTACCTGACAGCTCACCCTCCATTATCGCTCCTAGCTTGCTATTAATTATCCGGAAGACAGGTGCAAATGAGCGGACCGTTTTTTGCGCTGTTGACGGACGCCATTTGCTTTAAATGACAAAACTTTTAATAAGTTCACAGTGGTGACAAAGCTGGTCGCAAGCCGCCGTAATGTTTAGGTTCTCGTGGAATTGTGAAATGGAGTTTTTCTGCCTGAACTCCCTCATCTCGCCAACAGGGACAGTAATCAAAACAAAAACCCCCGGCTCCCACCACCAATCTCTGATAGAACCGTGGGGGATTTATTAGGACCCCCCCATCCCTAGCTATTTAAATGATCCTAGATGCAAGGCGCTCAACAGTGCTGGAGAAACTCATTAAACTCTCAGGGCGTCAGTCGCTAAGGCCTCCTTTAACAGGACGTGGTTTCTGTGTTGGCTGATGCAGTCCTCTTTGGTGTCTCAGAGGGACGTACCTCCATGGTGTCCAGCTATGTCTGTTCCATCACTTTTAATTGATTTAGCTAATTAATTGCCAGACCCATGGACATTTCTTTAGCATATTTTATATGTGCATCAATTCTAATAGTAACTAAAGGAAAATATTTCAATATTGTGTATGTTGGTATGTATTGAGTGAAGAGTGCGATTTCTTTGACGAAGGAAATTCTGAATAAAAGCGTCTCAGAAGAATTGCTTCGGTATTCAGTTTTGGCCGGACGAGGCCAGACATCGAAACAGCGTCGTACGGTCGTTCACCGTCTTCACAAGAAACAGCTCGACACTTTCCTCTTGGTTTTTCACCGAGGTTTGACACCCTGCTTGACACTGACTCTTGCTCCCCTGAGGGGGCTACTGCCACCATAGGATCCTGCCTTAATTATGCAAAGTACAGGATATTTTGTGCGATTTTTATTTTATTTTTTTTTTTAAAGTGCGCCAGTTTCTGCTTTGGCAGTCACTGCCACACTCCCCTACTGGGAGGTCCTGTCAGACTCCCCCTTCCTCTTTGCCCAGGAAAATGAAAGGCTAGAAAGAAAAGACATAATGGAGAATGCATTTCAACTGCAGGGGTGGAACGCAGAGGCGTAAGAAGTCCTCAGTGAGACCCTCATTTTACATGGAACAGGTGGGAGACTCTTTTGTTCTCTTCCTGCTGTTAAAATCCATTTCATTTCTTGTACTTGACATGCCACGAGGAACTCTCACCAGTTCCCAAAAAAAAAAAGGCTCTAATGTAAAAGGTTCCTGCCTTTTACTAAACAGAAGTTGAGTTTTTCAAGGCCATGCTGTTTTCAAAAAGTCAAAAGTGGTTTAGTTGCCATGTGCCTAATGAGAGCATTTTCAGCGTGCCGATCGAGCTGTCACTACTTTGTCAGCCGTCCTTTTTAAAAGATGAAAAGGCACTTTGCAGCCTCTTTGGTTGTTACGACGCGTAACGTGAATATATGTTTAATGCATTCATGTTTTCTTTGCTTTTTAAGTTTGGATCACAGTCGGCTTTAAGAAGGTTCAGCTTTTTTTTTACCGGGATCTACGACTCTTGTTTTTTCTAATTTAGCGAGGCGCTCCGCTACCTTCATCAAGGCGTTTTTCACTTGGTCACTGTTGATGTTGGGAGGACGTTTCATAATTCATCGCGTCATTACCCAGTCCAATATGTTATTTACGTGGGTGGCTGTTTGCCTTGTTGCCAAACCTCATCCATATGAAAGGCTTGTGTGGATTCCCAAACCACAGGTTGAGCTGTCGAAAGCTGTTGAAATCTCCTGGAGTTTCCATACAGAAAAACCTCAATAGTAAATAATAAAAGAAGGAAATCTCAATGTGTCTAACTTGTTTTTCACCGTTAACTGTTTCTTTCCCTCTTTTTCTCCCCCTTCTCTGTTTCTGGCAGTAGAAGACAATGTGACAGAGGACCAGCACAGTCCTGGGCAGACTGCCATTCCAAGCGGTAATGCTCCATTTCATATTTCATAATTTTCGGCTGGAAAGTGGATCATGTGTCTGATTGTGCATGTGTGTCTGTAAAATCTTTGTTGGGTTCGGAATGTTAAGAAAAAGTGTGTATTTCCTGTCTTTGAGGTTTTCACTCTGTAAACTGCATGGTTGCATGCATCTGTATACAAGAAGTGGCAGAGCGGTGGCACTCTTCTTCGTCTTTCTTTGTTTGTGTGCATGCATACATGCAGGTGTGCTTATAGCTGTCCCTGTGTTTCTGTGTGTTCCTGCCGTTTTTTTTTTTTTTTAACACTCTTTGTTTCCCAACCCTCTGTATGATGTAGAATAGAGCTACCCAGATGAATGTGTCCTGTCTCCGCGCGTGCCATTCACAGTGGCCCTCCAGGAACGGAGCGGTAATTCAGGTCAGGCTAGCAGAAAGCCCCCTATGAATGAAGCCTGCTCCTGATGCTCCACACTGTATATTTTCATTTCATTTGTCTCTGGTAAAGGTTAAGTCTCAGGCGTGGTTATTTTAAACCCGATATGGATGGTTTTGCCCAGCAGGCTGGGGACCCTGGGTACTCCTAGGCTGCCACATTAGTCCAGCATTTACCCAGAGCTTTCTGAGTGCAAAATACGGACGCAAGCATCACCACAATAGGTCCAGTCTTCTGCTTTTGACTTCAGTATTATTGTTTCAAAACGTAGGCTTTGGCGTGTAGCAGGTATTTAAAGGTAGACACCAGTCAAAGGTTTCTGACCTTTGGTGTTAAACATCATCACGCCTCTCATGCGTTTCCGATTGATCTGAAACATTTTTGCAACATTTTCTTTTTTTCTTCATCTCTGGGGAAAAAAAGCAGATACGTGTCCGCCGCTGAGTTAATGTGTATTGATAGGTATCGGTGGGCAATGCCGAGGAGAGAAACCGCCTCCTCGACAGCCTCTAACCCCCGACTCAAGGGATGAAGGACTGGGCATAAAAGGCAAACTTGCCTCGGAGACCTCCCGTCTTCCAGAGCCAAAGTAGAGCTAATGAGTGTGCCTGATTACAGCGACCCCCTCAGACACACGAATCTCCCCTCTTCCCATCCCTCCACCGCCTCTATCTCCAGAGTGAGGGGAGACAGCCGCCACATGATCGATGTCTGCCTGTGGAGAAATCAGGAGGGCGCACAAATTAATTTCTCACTTTCCTCATTTGACTTCGTCTGACTTCGTTTTTTCTTTTTTCTTCTTTCAAAACCCCCTCTCAGGATGCGGTTTGCCGAATGGTCAATAAGAAAAGAGTTGTTTGTTGTCTCCTTTAACTTTTAAAATGTCCCCCCCCCCCCCGTCGCTTGTGCGTCTCGATCGTTGCAGCAGCAGCAGCGATTCATCCTCGTGGTTAAACCACTGCCCAAAGTAGGCCCTTTTTAACTCCCAATTGAGAAGTGGCGGAAAAGCTTACCTACTCGTCATGCATTTGCCACTTTGACGGACGTGGCCACAATAGCCATTAGAGTCCTGACAAGCCGAGGGCTTAATCAGACATGGTGTCAAGATCTGCCTCATAAGTAGGACCCCCAGTCGTGCTCTTCTGTGACTGCGAGCGTTCCGCAGGCCCCGCATCCTGTTTCTCATTCATGTTTGATATGTAGCAAAGGAGAAATGCTAACAAAAGATGCCCTCTCAAAGACAGACAGTATTATGCATAGTATAGAGGGGCAGGAACAGTGTGATATCTGAGATTTAATGAGGCGGTACGCTTTTTTACCCAGAGAGTGTCGAGCAGGCTTAAGATCTGCAGCTTGGCTTTACCACTGCGCTGCCTGTGTGTAATTATAACCACATGCTCCGTGCTTTTTCTTCTCTCATATATATATATATATATATATATATATATATATATATATATATATCCCTTTCTTTTTTTCTCTCGCTTGCTCTCGGCTGTGTCAGACTCGGCCTGTTTTTTTTGGATGAGGGTGTCTGCTCTGTCAAAGTAGAGTGGACTGAGGCAAATGGGAGCGTTGTTACAGAGGATCTGAAGGGTTCGTCTGGGTGGCAAGGTGCTGTACGGGGTAGAGTGGCGTAGCGCAGCGGCGCGGGTGTCCGGCTCTGGTTGAGGCTGCCCACAGATCAATGTACTGCAGGGCTCACTACAGCAGGAAGAGGGAAAGGACTCTTTCACACCACCACTTCAGAAAATCATATTCTCTATTATTCATTTCCTTTGATGTTTTACTGCACTAATGGCATAGCAAGGCGCTCCGTTCAATATCATCACTCCGTGCGAGAGAGGGAGGATTAGAGAGGGAGATAGCGTTTGGTATGATCAAATGTTGTTTCTCATTCAGCTGCTTTGATTTGCCGTCCTGTTTGTATGCTCGGCTCTTTTTTTTTTTTTTTTTTTTTTTTTTTTAAGAGATTTTAATGGTGGATGATGCTGTCTGTGTAGCCTACCTGTTCTATGGGCTGCTTCCGTCATGTTGTCGTCGTCAGTGCTTGTTCTTACGGCTCCTGTAATTGTTTCAGCATCTTTTTCTTTAACTCGGCACGCATCATAACCTCATCATAAATGTACTGCATGCTTTTCTTTTTTTTGTTGTAACACGCAACAAGGGGGGAAAACATTTGTCTGTCGGCGCATCACTTTGTTCTTGTAATGTGCTCAGTGTTTTTTTTTAGAGAAATGGCTTTTGACAAACAACCTTCGCTAATCTACTTTCAAATTTCAAATGCATCAAAACATTAAACAGCAATTAGTCCTTAATATGAATCCGGGGGACTTGAAGCAGATAACTGGAATTGCGTGCGCCGACCATATGAACACAACCCCCCCCCCCCTCGCCCCCTCCCCATGCAAATTGTTGAGGATCGTTAACAATCTGGCAAGTGTCAAGCGCACAGCCGCGTCGTCGGATCATGACATTCTTTAATGATGGGGGATCAGTGGATGTGACGGTCTAAGTGGAGAGCCCCAAATCCCATCCACACAGAGGAGGATACACTCGGAGGCACATGTGGCATTAGAATGTGGTGTGACCTATATATATATATATATATATATGGCGGGTGCTCGGCAAAAGTTTTAGATTTTTAAATAATGAGGTGCCGGCAACCGTGTGAAGGTTATTCAATCTTAATGTCCTCCTATTTCTGACAGCCTCCCTCACTCTGATAAAGGAGCGCACTCACCTTTGATCAGGCCCGCCGACATGTGTCGACAGAAGCTGCTCGCTGGTTGAAATAAATTCTTAATTCCAACTTGGGGGTGGGTGGTTGTAGGGTGGGTTGCCGAGGAGAGGGGGAGGGGGGGCATCATAGAATCAGGATCTCTGGGAAACGATGAGGGAAATGAGGTGATGGGTGAGCTGGTAATGATGTATCCGACACCGAGGTCTTTCATAGCACAAAGGAAGACTCGGGCTGAACCCAGATGCAGCGAGACATACTGTATCTACAGGCAAGCACGAGCGTAGCCCTGAGTGGTTTCACGTCGTGCTTTTGGGGGCTAGATTTGAATGAATTTCAGTTTAAGACACTGACATCCATCACATGTTGCATTTCAAAAATGGCTTCAAACCCAACAACAACTTTTCCGAGTCTGTTTTTCTTGTTTTATGCTCTCAGTATTTTAATCTTAAAGGCTAAGACAGATCTCTAGCAAGGCTAAAAGCAGGGTTCATGGTGAGCGATAACTTATTAGATCATAATTCTATTTTCAGGCTGTGCAGCTCGGCCAAACGCTTTCTTGGAGTATTCCTATACATTCGTGCCCTTCCTCCTCTCCCCGTGGTCAGTGTGTCTCCACCTATCTCAGTGTGTGGGCCCCGGCAGTGGGGGCACGGGTGTAGGCTTCCCTGCTAGGGACCGCGGGTCCCTGGTGGGACCGAGGGGAGCAGAGAAGAGAATATCAATTAAAAGGTTATAAATATTTAAGAGCAGAAATATTCGATAATATAAGGGTGGGGGTCCAGGGGACTCTTTAACTCGCAGGATGAAAGTTGTGGCATGATAAATGTCACTAGGCGCCATAAGAGACAAGAGCGTGCATGATGGATGGACTCACACTCAAGACAGATATTACATGGCTGTAAAGATGTCAATCACCATCCAGATATCCACGTTTTGTTCGTGCAAAACTAACGTGGATTCAGTATCATAAAGATTAAAAATGTCTGCTTTTGGTCAGATCTTCATCGTATTCCCCTTGTTAATAATTCCTCAGTCCGAGCTGCGATCGTCTTACTTCGAGCCGACCTTTTCAGAATATGGATCAGCGGTCAATGTGGCCTGCCTCTTGTCCTTCCCTACCATGCCAGCTTGGTCAAGCTGATTAACTAAAGTAACAAGGGCGCCAGGCATGATGAAAAAAATCTCAATATGCTATACACACCCCCCCCATATTCCACATGTGATTTTCAGCCATTCCAAGCATGCTGGTATCGATCCGCTGTCCAGCCTGTAGAGACTGGTAGAGGAGGATGTCCTGATCTGATGGATTACTGTATGAGGCCCAGAGGCACTGGAACCTCAGTATTGACGTGGCTCTTTAATCCCAGGGTTGGACGTGACCTTGCCGTGTCAAGCCCCCCCCTGCTCCCCACCCTCACTCGCGCTTCCCCAACAACCCCCAAACAAACGTGTAGTAGTTTACACTTCCAGCGTCGTATCACAGTGGTGCACCGTGGGGTCATTGGGCTCAACCGAGAGCACTGACCCAGCGTGGCTTCACTCGACGCTGCAGCTGAAACTTGTCGCTCGAAACAAGAGAAAAACAAGCAAGTGGGGATTATTAAACTCACACACGCGCATGAATCTCTTTGGGATTTAATAGCATAAAGTTCCCTGAAAAGACGTGACGATAATATTAAAAACAGAATAAAATGCATCTTCCTTCTGCACTGAGAAATGTGTTGTGTTTTTTAAATTGCAAACATAAAATGCTTAAACGCAGCCATCGGTTGTTTTTGTCTGATGGGATTGAGCTGTAATATTAGACAAATTAATGATTCATAAAGGCCGCTGGAAAAAAAGAATCTAAGCCTTAACCTTCTCCACAGGCACTCGGTAAAAAAACAAAAGTGCAGATTGTGAATTCTGTGTCTGTGCATGAATCATTAGTCTATATTGTGTGGCTTTTGGACTCAGTCAGAAGTGTTTCCCCCCCCAGAGCAAGAAAGGCCTGCATCTGTGAGGATTGGGTTGGGATTTTCATTTTCTTGAAACACCTTCTGTTCTGTTCTGCATGGTCCCACTGGGGACCACAGTGCTGATATTTTTAGAGGGCATGTTCCGAGAGCCTCAGTCGCCAAGAGGGAAGGACAATGGAGGGTGTGATTTTACATCAATACTTGGCGCAAGTGGGGGGGGAAAGGAAAAAAAAAATCCTGGGTGGCCTTGATGAACGCCTTTCCTTAAGGAATTTCACAGTTTAAGAGCACCCTGCAGAAGGAGGACTTAAAATGGCCGCCCATGTGTATAGACACCCGGTGTTTATATACAGCTACACCTATATACAGCTACACCGTGCCACACACGCCTTTGTCCTCGAGCGCTGTTAACCGCGTGCTAGGCGAAAAAAAACAAAAAAAAAAACAGGCTTCCTCCATCGCGTTCCCGTCCAGAGTTTCAGCAGAAGCTGAGGAACACTTGCATCAGTGGGGCTTAAAATGGCTGCCGGTGAAGTGCAAGGGCTCTCCTCTCCCACAAAGCCTTAACCAGGGTGACGTGATTGTTTGATTGTAAGTATGGCTTTTTAATCAGTCTTATTGTGAAGTGCAATGGTCACAGCAGGGGAGAAAGAGGGCTGCAGGCCATGCCGCCTATTTTTAAGACGCTGTCGCAAGCCAGATTCACCAATGCTTCCGAGGGAGGCTGTTTACGGCGCGCTGTGAGTGAACAACGCCAGGTTTGATTTGTCGTCCGAATATGTAAGCGCCGCGACGAGATCTTCAGATTAGACTGCCGGCCTTGAAAGATGATTCCTAGTCCTGGTTCAGTCAGTCGCCCACCCCTGGCACTGCTGCAGCACAAAGACAACAAGAGACAAAACTGCAGATGGATTGGAGAATATTGATGTGTGCGACCCGCGGCTGCCTGCGAGCAAGGCTGAATAATTTAAGGAAGTGTGTCGTGACGACAGCCTAACGCACACCAATCTCAATTTTTGTGTGTGTCTTGCTGCGCTCCATACATCCACACTTCTGGCGTAGATGTCTGGATAGTATGGCGAGGTCTGCCTCCTCCGATAGACGCTGACTGATGCAATTCAGCACTCACTGGCGGAATTTCATATTTCTTTGGTCGAGCCAAAACTGCAATCCAGGATTTATTAACTACACATATTCCCATCAGTCTAGTTTCATATACTGAAGTTTTGCTTGGGTGAAGCAGGGCAAACACAACGTAAAACCATTTCTAATAACAGAGGCGTGTGCGTGTGCATGTGTGTCTTAGATTTGTGTGCGTGTGTGTGAGCGTCGCGCCACCTTGTCTGTGCGTGCCTGTGTGTCTCTCGCCCTCACCTGCCCAACCGTTCCGTTATGGCATGAGTGGTTGAGTTACAGAGGCCCAAATTGAACCTGCATTTTTATTACAGCTTTTATTATTGTTTTTATTAAATCCAGAGTCTAGAAATCTATTTTATTGTCACCCAGAGGAAGCTGTAGTGCCTCGCCGTGTGGGTCACCCCTCTGACTATGTGGTGCTGTCATTTCCTGTGGCTCGGCAGATCCAGAGTGCGCCCTCGAGAGGGCGGCGGAGGATGGTGAGACCGGGCGTCTGAGGAAGAGGCTGCTCTCTCCAGAGGAAGCAGAGGAGGGAGAGGACGACGAGGAGGAGCCCGCGCTGCACAGCTGCGACAGCTGCCGGCAGGTGTTCGAGTCGCTGAGCGATCTCACCGAACACAAGATTAATCAATGCCAGCTGACAGGTAAACAACGTTCAGCCCACCGAGCCTCCCCTCCACTCTGCCACTCAGCTCTTCTCCCACTCCCACTCTCACTCTATGCCTTCACCAGAGAATATGCCACAATATGTGTGTTAGTGTGCTGCACTGAGGGGAGTGCAACACCAGACTACCACTTTCCTTGGTAGATATCCAACAACGCAGACACGCACACAGGCCTCACACAGCACATTATCTATATGTGCTGCACATCAATATCGACAGGCGTGACACACAAATAGGCCTCCATGTGTCCTTATAGTAGATCACTGTAGGCTGCAGTATGTGTATTTATAGTATGTGCTTTGTGTCCTTGCCTGTTTCAGTGTAACATTTTTATACAGTACTACACCAATTCTAACCTTTCACTAGAGTGTAACATGCAGCTACGAGGTCCCACAGTAACCAGACCACCAACTGGAACCAGACTCGCGCTGCAGGAAAAGTCCCTCAGCTGGTCCCGTTCGCTAGCCGCAGTAGTAATGCCTAGTGGGAGTGAAAGAGAAGGATGCCATTGGCAGACTGTGTCATTGACCTGTTGATGGATGAATAGGACTATAAATACCCTGACAAGGTGGCAGACAGAACTAATGATGTGAACTGAAGGTTTCCAATGCGCTTCTCCTGGACTTGCTGTCCTCCTTTTGCACGTCCTGATGGGCCCGCGTCGAGAAACGCCAGCCCGACACACATTTTACCAACGTTTTGGCACAGCCCTCGTCTCTTTTTATCTTGTTCTGAAACATAACATGAGGAGGCTCGCAAGTAATAATCCCGATTCTGATGTGCAGAAGCTATAAACCTATCATCTCGAAAGCAAAGCCAAAGCCCTGTTCATGAGAAAGCTAGTGGAGTCTCTTTTCTGTTTACATTCAAGCGCAGTTTGATTTCATATTTTACAACCCACAATCAAAAAGCCACAAATTACAGGCTACTGTGGATATCCCACGAGTTGCACAAAGATTTTCCACTAACTGTAGAACAGTCCCACGAACCGAGCCCCGTGTTTGTTTGTGTGTGTGTATATAAGTGTGCACGTGTGCATTCTGTCGTGCCCCCCCCCCCCCCCCCGATTTGTGCTAATTTAAGCAGAAATGCACGCATGCTCATTGAAAGAGTGACTTCGCATGTGCAGGGCGGCGCTTGTTTACATGTATGTGTGCGCAGGGTGTGCTCATGCGTGCAAATTCAAAGTGACGCTCAGTTGACTAAAGGTGTGAAAATCAATACGCCGTTCACTTTCACATTACTGTCCTCCAACAAAAGCATGCACGGGTTTGAAGGAAACTAAGTGCAGCACCTCCTGTCACCTTTTTTTTCGTCAATGTAACACCTAATTCCATCAAGCCTGTTTCGGGAAGCTAGGAAATAAATACACAAAGGGTATGCATGATAGGGGGGCGTGCTCTAACGCTGCATGAATTTAAATGATCTTCAAATTGTCCTCATTCGGATGTTCTGGACACACATTTGTGTTGATACGAGTTGTGTATTTGATTCTGGGGCAGGCCTTCTATCTTCAGCACCGTTGCAATATGGTCATGACTGACTCAGCCATATTTTTTCAATAATTAAGCCTGGCTTTTATAAATGTCAATCTTACGGACAAATAACTCTTAATTGCTCAATGGTGGAAAAAAAACCACAGTTTGGATAAGAGCCCCCGTGGAAACCAAACAAAAGAATCTAATTGCCATTAGGGTATTGTGATTGCACAGAAACACTCTATTAGTATTCAAACACAGTGGGAGAAAAGAAACTTCTAGATGGCATACCAAGTACTTTGAATGTGCGCGCGTGTGTTTGTGTATACTCTGGAATATGGGAGATTTCCTATGTGGCATTATGTAGACATCCATGACCAATTAATCTGCCTTACATCAAGTCTCTACTCACAGATGGATCCTTTATTAGAACCATTTTCTAATCAACCACCAGCACCTGCTAAACCTTCCATTTTTACAATTTCAAATGTTTTATTTTTGGTAAACAAATTGCAGAGCTTGACTGGAACCAATCCACGTATGGAAATTTGCTTGCTGTTCCCTGACAGAACTCAGCTCTTTTTCCCCCCAGCTGATATCCCATAAGCGTATACAGTGTATTACCACAACCAGACATGCCCATATAAACCTCACTACCTCACATGTTTATTCTGGGCCTCATACTCTGCATCTGTGATCTACGGTAAAACACGAGTTTCACCACAGGAGTGAGACAAAACAGAGTAACTAAGTAAAGTCTAAACAGATGCTAGCTGCATGTCGACCACGCCCGGTGGACTGGGAGAAAAGAGAAAGATGTTACATGTCACCGCGATCAATGGCGGCCATTGTCTCCCCCCCGTCTGCCAGAGGTATAACACCTTTCCATGCACTTAAGCCGTGACCACTGCAGTGCGCTAAGGGAGCGCATGGGTATGGATTGCCTCGTGTCCCTGATGCGATCGGTGCTATTGATCGCACTAATGCTGGACTGCGGAGGAAGGCGAGAGTCTTGAGGAAGGGGAGGGAGAGAGATGGGGAGAGAGTGCTGCAGGAATGCGTCCCCAGGGAGCCCGTCTTGGGCTGGGGCAGGGCTTCAGGAATGCTCCCCAGGAGATCCCAGTGAAGGCTAGGGCAGGGCTGGAAGAATGCTCCTCTAGAGAGTTGAGAGTGGAGGCTGGCTGGGGCAGGGCTAGAGGAATGTTCCCCCAGAGCACCCCTTTAACTCTGGAGCAGAAGTGGAGGGGCTCCGCGGGGGGAGAGCGCTCCCCCGTTCCCCCCCCCCCCCAGCCCCCCAACCCGCTAGCGCAGCACTCCTCCAGCCCTGCCCTAGCCTTCACTGGGATCTCCTCG